TTTTTTTTTTTTTTTTCCATTCGCGTTGGCCGCGAGATACGAGTCTCGTTTTTTTACTTTAAACTTTTGTTTCGTCCCGATATATAAACGCGTATTATTGGAAGCGTAAAAGAAAAAAAAAGAACGGGAGTATCGACGAGATGTAAATCGAGTCTCGAAATGCGTGTTTGATTTTGTAAATGCTAACATGTTGTGAGAACGGGGGTTTATTTCCCAGCAGATAGCGAATAAATATTAATTACCTGCTATTGGCCGACGAGCAGCGTGTAATCGGGGCGCGCTCGCACGCTTTTCTGAAAATAATGCGCGCCGTATTAATTTTCCCTGGATCTTGTATATACCTCCCTTCTTCCCCCCCCGTATGCCGTATCGGGTTATACGTCCAATTTCTCATTCGATCGCTCGTTAATTTATTCTTGGTGCGCACTTTTCGCGAGATTTTGTAAAATATTTGAAAAGTATGTCGTAGTAAGAAAATAGGACTGAAAATTTTCGACTTTCCTTTGAGAATTATCGAGAAGAATAGGCTGTCGTTAAATTGCAATACTCGATACCGAAGAGAATTCCCTTTTCGACTCGATTTTACGACGAGAAGCTTGCCTATGGAAAATGTAGTAACGATTGTTACGGAATGCATAATACGCGGAATTCAACACGATATATATATATATATATATGTATATACGCAACACGATACACCGCATGTAGAGAAGAAGGTATCCCGGGTATCATTTATGGAAGTTGCGAGCAGGCAAGACGCGGGCCTCCTCGCTCGAGAGAACGAGGAAGGAGACGAGTCGAGTCCCGATAATTCCAAGAGCGGAAAATAGATCGTCGCTTAACGCGGAGCGGGCGTATAAGTAATTCTGAAGTTCCATTAACGTTAAATCCAGAAGATCTATTGTCGTTGGTATTTTACCATTCGCGCGTTTCCCCCGCATAATGAATACTCGCAGAAACGAGACAATAGGGTGTAATTTAGTAAACGGCCGAGGTTCGCGTGACGAGCATGGCCCGGGAGGCCGTTACAACCAGCTATATAACGACGAAATTGAGACGTATTCCGAATGGATTGCTTGGCTCGAACGAGCGAACCAGCCTTTCCCACGAGCATCTTCCTTTCCCCTATGTGTATATATATATATATATTCTCTCCCAAGTTCCGAGCTATTTCGCCGGCTACATCCCCTTCCTTCGGGGTCAAGAAAATGGGATCGCTCGAAATCGGATCACGGTATGCGTCGCCGCCATCGTGGCGAAAAAACGTGGATGCGAATGGCGATCTTCCATCCATCCTGCGCTCGTCTTTCGAATATTTTTTCACGAGCGCGACGATTTCTCGATCCCCTTCCAAGAGATCCGATTCTATTGCATCGTATCATCGTTGAACGAAATTTCTCTCTTGCGTTCTTCTCGATCGAGAGAGAGAGGAGAGAGAGAGAGAGAGAGAGAGAGAGAGAGAGGTCGATGTGTGTTTGTTCTTAACGAACGAACAAACGAAAAAAGTGGAAAAAAAGAAGAGGGAAGGAGAAAGGAACGGGGGAGGGGATTCGAGAAACAATGGGAGGGACGAAAAGTCGAGGGGCAAAAACGCGGAACAGTGGAGGCAACGGATAAGGGAAAAAAAAGGGAGAAAAAATGATATTGTTGGGTTGGCGAGATACACTTGGCTTTCTCTCCCTCTCTAATACAATTGCACACTTCTGCACCAAGTTCTTCGGGTGCTCTACGGAGAATGGGTTGGATCGGGGTAGAGCTGGCCTTTTCTCCTCGCGAATGCGAGTTGCCTATCTTGCCAGGAGGGTGCAGTTACACCTAACGGCATGGCTGCACTCCTTATTAATAGGTGCGCTTGGAGAAGAGCTCACGCCACCACCGACCGGACCAACCCAGAGCGAAAGGTGGCAACACAATGGATTTTCTCTGTATGGGGAAGCGGGAGATCCCCTCCCTCCTCCCTTATTTATAACGCGTCGTTTGGACGAAGGAATGGCCGGGGCTCGCGAGTAAATCGTTCTGTCGTTTATTAACGGTATCCATGAATTGGGTACCGCGCCCCCGGCGTTTGATGAATTTGCGTGAACACGCGTCGTTGTTTCACCAGTATTCGTGAAATTATTATTCCCTCGCTCCGTTTCAGAATTCCGTTTATCTCGTGATTTCTCACTCCCTCCACGGTCGTTGGGATGGAATACGCCCAATACGTGTTGGTCAGAAAGTGCGATTAAGATGGGAACGAGGGGGGGATGGTTGATTTATCGTTTCTTTCCTTTCTTTTTTTTCTTCTATTTAAATCTCGCGTTCGGATATATTTGCATGGAGGGGTATAATAAAATCCTTCTCGATACTTGATCTTGAAGGCGTGCATGGAGAGAGAAAGAGAGAGAGAGAGAGAGAGGATTAAGGGGAAACGAGCCCGAGGGATATTGCCTTCAGATATTCATTAATCCTTTTCGTCGAGCAATCTCTTTCGTTCGGGGTGCCGTAATACGGTTTACCCTGACAGTGGTCCAATTTATTTTAACAGACGTACAAACCACCCCGTAGCCCGTACTTACTGTCCAGGCCGTTCCCCGCAGCGGGAAGCTTCTTATTAATAGCCGTGCTTAGAATCCGAAGGTCCCTGGTAGCACCTTGTACTTTGCTGGGGTTAACAATAGGTACAGGGAATGGTATAATGAGAGGCCATCCGCGCCAATGGCGATGTTGGTGAAGGACTTGCGTAACACGGAGAGGGAGAGGGAGGGAGAGGAGGAGAGGGAGAGAGATAGAGATAAATTCGACGGAATTTCGCTGGAATGTGTCTATGATGAAATAATGGATCGAGGAAAGAAACGGTGTCTCCATCTTTATTGTTCCGCCATTTATCAATTTGCTCGAACGTATTATACGAGTGTCGGGCATAACGAGGTATATTTAATCCCATTGCTCGCCAATTTCGATAATTTATCCAATCAGCACCTTTTCATTACGCAAATACCATTGTTCCAAAAATCAAAAATCAAAGCTCGTTAACTCGAAGCGCTTACTACTGCGCTCTAATTAATCTAATTGATATCATTTCTCTTTGAAATATTCGTCTAATTTATACAACTGTTAATTTCAATTTTTTGAGAGATATCAAATGTAATTTTTGATTGGTTTAGTGGTTTAGTATTCTTTCGTTCGTCACATTTTCAGGAGGAAATTCGTAACTCGTGCTTCGAATCTTTTGCTTTGTATTTTGAGAATCATTTGATACGATGAAATTAGCGTCGATGTTTTTTTAAAAGCATCCGTTTCATTATCATATTCTTGTTAAACATCGAATATGTTTCTCCTTCGAATGTATTATATTTCTTTTTGAAATATATTATTCCACAAAAAATTCGAAATATTTAAGTATTCATAGGAGGAGTACTTTTGGAGTATTCCAGGATATAGCTAAAATAAACAAAAAAATCGTAGATAAAAATATCGATCGAGGCTTCTTCATCAAGTTACGATTTAATTTCGTGATCAAATTTTGCGTTTGAGAGCTCAACCTTTCAAAGATATATCCCATGAATATATTAACATCCTGTATATCCCGAGAGATACTCACGAGAGGTGTCTCACCGGAATCGAAAGTGTGAATTTATAAAATATTTACTGTTTATTTTTTTCCTCCCCTTCCCTTCCTAATCCATTTTATTTACCAGAATGAAGAATAACGAGCAATACGAACATGATTTCTTTTTTTAATTATTTACACTCCGAATGATGTTTTATATATATCCTTGTTGCGACACCAAAGGGATAGCATAGATGACTGGCATGCGTCGGTTAAGCGAACTCTCGAAGTTAATTACTCTTGGTAATTACAACTCGGGGCCCGAGGCACTGTTAATGTACAGGTTTTGTCGGGATTTTCTTTCACGCGGCTTTGAATTACCCCGCTTCCACGCTAATCCTATACATCGCACGGAGCGTATACGCCGGCGTCGGTTCTTCGCCGTCCGATTCCGGAGTAAATTTAATTCGAAAGTGTTTTCTCGACCCCCTTCGAAAAATTCGTTTGAAAAGTTATTACTCGAATTATCGAATCCGTTGCTCCACGTTCTTCGGTTTCGTTCGGATCGAGAATAAAATTCGAGGGCGATCGTTTTTGGAGCTGAATTAGTCGAGTATTATTATTAACGAGAAAAAAAAATGAAATATTTGTGAAAGAATAAATGTGATGACGCGTTTATAATTAATAATCCCTTTATTTTCGATTTCAATCGTTAAATCTGTTTTTTTATTTATTATGAGTCGTTAACAATTTTTATTAACGATAGAAATTACATTTTTCCATGTTTGTTTGTTGTTCAAACACGCCAATTTATGGAAAAAAATTACCACGTGGAAAATTACGTGTTTTGAAATATATATATATTTTACGCGTAATTAAAAATTGTTAAATAATAATTCATTTTGAAAATCCATGTCTGCAAATCCATTTTTTATTACGCGTTAAAATTTCCACCGCAAAATCTTTTATAGGCTGTGAAAAAAAATTCTTCTCCGTCAATCATTAATAATTGAAAACGAGAAAGAACTCGAAAGAATTAACTAATGGATGAGATAAAGATAAAGATGTACTGCATACAGAAAAAAATATATTCCTTTTTTTTTTCGTTCGAATATTTTCGATCACAGATCAAAGGGATACATCGTTAGAGGTTTCGTTTCGTAAGCATAATCGAAGCTAGCGATTCGACGTATCCCCGAAGCGAGTTGTTTTGGTTTCGACGTGCCGGATCGGAACTGATTGACGCTCTGGGATATACTACGGTTGACCTGGAGTTAATTAGGGATCCTAAGCGAGCCACAAGCTCGCCCTGAGCCGCTCCGATCTAGCCCCATTATAATTAATTAATTAGCCGTATGAGACGTGACTTAATGGGCCGTCCATCGATACGCGGCGCGACGGAAATATCATTCGCGCTTTATCTTTCACATCCGAAAAGATTATTCACGGAAAGAGTCTTCTTCCTTCGAGCTTCCACGATTCTCTTGGAAACGTTTGAAAGAAAGGAAGGAATAATTTCGAATAATCCTCACAGATTCATACTTACCCCATAGAATATGGAATATAGAATCCATCCGAATCGGCGCATCGTTCCATAAATCTATTAGCATGTAATGGAATTTCACGAACGGGGTAGCTAGATTATCGTCCGATTGAATCTTGATTGTGCCATGTCTGCAAGCCGATTGAACCAGCTGGTGTAAATTTAACCCTCGTGTAGCGTGTCTTCGAGCTTGTCAAGGCAAGTTCAATAATCGAAACGTGGGGGTGGTGGATAAGGGAGTCCGATATCGCCCTCTGATATGATACGAAGGATACGTGGAGGCGAGGAATGGGAAATGATCGATCGATCGATGGAGCTTTGGTGTATTTTTATTAACCGAAAGCCTATGCCTATAATAAAGAATGCTATGTGTATACATATCCTCTATCTATATACAGTAAATTCATCATCCACAACGTCACCGTATAACACATTTGGCAACTCGAGATCGCGCTTTTCTCCGTTCTCTTGTTTCTTGGCAGGAGTGTCGCGGCACTTGGTCGCGTTTATTCGTGAAAATACCGTGTGCCGGACGATCGACGACACGCGGAGGATTATATGAGAGATATAAAGAGGAAAGAGGGAGAAAAAGAGAGAGAGAGAGAGAGGAAAAAGTGATCGAACCACACCGTGCGAGGCAAGGATCCTTTCACGGCGGTGGTCACACTTGTAGAATAAAAAGAAAAAAAAAAAAAAGAAAGAAAAAAGAAGAAACGAACGAACTCGTCGTCCTCTGTGAGATCGCCTTTTTTTCAATTAACCTCTTTTCAATTAACCTTTTTTTCTTCCCAACGTTGATCGTCGGGGGACTATCGATTAGATTAAGTGTAATATTGCTTGCGCAGCGCTGTAGAGGGACTCTTTTCTCGCGACACGCACGATACGGTATCGTCTTACGTTGTATCGTTAATTATTTACAAAAAATCCTCACGTATCGTACACACAATATATAATTATGCGAGCATCGA